TTACCTTTTTTATCTTCTAAAATAGATTTTTCTATTTCAACAAATCTTGTGTTACACATAGTATTTAATTATGATTACTACAATTTATTGATTAAAAACTAATTATTATGTAACTATATGAAAGCCATATATGAATAAAAGTTACTAGTTGAAGATTATATCAAGAATATTGATGAAAGAGTAGGTGAATTTTTGCCTATTATATTACGAGGATTTCTATTTAAAAAAATATTTATTAATAAATGAACACGTTTTTTCCCCTTAGGTAAAATTTATCGTGATAATTATAAGCGTTATAATATTAATAATTATTAAACAATAGTATAAAGAATGATATTTCTTGTTCTCAACCGATCAATTCGGTTTAATATGTACAATAACAAGGTCTAGTTTTATATTACCTTTGATAGAAGAATATGTATATAAGAATCTACGCCTTCGAACTCGACCGCAAAGGTGACCTCTGATCAATGATATCAACAATTTACCATATCGGATTCGCGACACGTCAAATTTCAACTTGAATATTGTATATGGTGTGCGCACGTGCGCATGTGAGAGGGAGAGAGAGAAACTAAGTAAGTAGTGCTTAAAGCATTCTATACCATATACATATATCTATATATATATAGAAGAGGAGCAACGCAAAAAATCAAAACATACGTATTCAGTTTTATTCTATACTTGAATCTGAATCTTTTTGTAAATTTGTTAATATTTTTTAAATAAGTTATATAAAAAAAAGTATTAATCAAATTTCAAATAAATTCTCTTTTCTGTTTAATTTGGATGTTTCAAACAATCTACGCAGCACCTATTTCTTTTACTTTTTGAACGCGGCAATTTCCCTCTTCACGGTCATAGTTTATCTTTTGCAATAGACGATTAAATAGACTTTACGCGCATACAATTTACGTAATGAATCAATGGGGCAGGAGTGTGCGCCCAAGTACATTCAGTTTTCGTATTTCTTAGACGACGTATGTAACTTTACGGATCTTATTTTGGTAAAATTACGATCATAACAATTCAATCATATTTTTATCATTTCTATTTTTTT